AAATGCAGATATTGCACTCAAATTATCAATGACGGGATTAGCCGATTCAAACAACACCTAGCCAAAAAGAGGGAAATTGCGCGTCGTGTGAAAGTTCCCGATGATGTTAAGGCAAAAGTTTTCGAAATTATAGATAATGCAAAGAAGAGTAAGGATGAGAAGGAGATGAAAATGTATAACTTGTTGAGTGAGGTGCATATCGAGAAGGATGAGGAGGAGCATAACTCAATCTCATTGAGTAGTCAAAGAAACTCGTCATCCTCCCACAAGGTAAATTGAACCAATGGATTTCTTCGTCGCTCGTTCTCCCGAGGAGATTGCTCAAATAGTAGCAAAGGGGAACAACCAACGGTGGACTCCAAGCTTAAAAAGAAGAAAAGGGAGGATGTATTGCGATACATCTCCAAATGGTTCTATGAAATCGGCATTCCATTTCATACTGTCACACTTCCCTCTTTCCATCAAATGCTACAAGCTATTGGATTGTTTGGAAATCATTTACAAGCTCCATCGATGTATGAACTGAGTGAGACATATTTGCAAAAAGAAGTGGATGAGAAAAGAAATTATTGAAAACTTTAAAAAGACTTGTGTTGTCAATGGTTGCACGTTAATGACCGATGCATGGAGTGATCGGAAGTCTAGAAGCATCATGAACATAGTTGTATATTCTACTAGGAGAGCTTGTTTTTTGTCTTCACATGATGCATCAGCCGATAAGCACGATGCTCAGTATATCTGTGACTTTGTAAACAATGTTATTGATCAGATAGGGGACGTAAATGTGGGACAGATAATATTACATTAAACTCTGGGCGCTCCTAGACGCCGGACTTGACGCGCAGCGCTTAGACATCTAGACGAGCACCTAAGCGGTTTCTGGGCGTTTTTTTCTTTTTTTAATTGTGATACTTGAAGATAAATATATATATACCCAATCAACAATGCATAAATACAAAAATACTAACATATATGCTATCCAAACTATAATAGTCAATCAAAGATGCATACATACTAAATGGCAAGGCATATAATATCCAATAACTAGAAGTTTAGGTCCCAAAATATCAGCAAATAGACAGTCAAACAGGTTCAATGTGTAATTCTTAGACAGAATCTCAAAACAAAAACTCACATGTTAATTTCCCTTACTGTTAACTTATTTTTTGTAGGTCAAAAACTACAACTTCATTCGTTATTGCTGCAACTTCAAAAACTGCTACTTATTATTGTTCTATTTTGTAGGTCAAAAAATGCAACCTCATTCGTTATTGTTATAAGCCTGCAACTATCACTAATGTTGTGTTTCAATATGTTGTTTCTCAAGGACCTTATTATATTAAGTTAATCTTTGAACAAATACAGAGAATTATAAGCTTTGTATGTACAATTGTAATCTTTGAACAAATGCAAAGAATGAACATGACAAAGCCAAATGTACAGTTGTAATCTTTGGAAAAAAAACTCTATATATATGGTTGTAATCTTTGAACAAATGCAAAGAATGAACATGACAAAGCCAAATGTAGGGAGCATAATTTTATTGATCATGAGAAACTATAGCAGCAGTCCTGTTGGTTACTCAATTAGACTTAATATTAACTTATAAACTTCAAATTGAACTTCAAATTAAACTGTACAACAAACTTAATATTAATCTCCGAAATACTCCAATGAGCACTGAAAGAACTGTACAACCAAAATTGTTTTGCTTATAACAACAAGAATTACTTATAAACTTAATATTAACTTAAAATTAAACTTCAAATTAAACTTAAACAATTAAACAATTAAACTTAAATATTATTTATATTTCAAGATCCTTTACTTTAGTCCTTTACTTACAGTCTTACAGAGATGAAATTGACTCCTAGCTTGAAGACGAGCTAGAAGCCAGAGATGAGAACGACGAGTAACTTCGACGAGATCGAAGACAAGCTCCCAGGTTGAAGATGAGCTCCTAGGATCGAAGACGAGATCGATGTTCGTGGCGGCGGCGGGTGAGTGAGATTAGGATTAGTTTTACTTTAGTTTTGGGTTTTGGGTTTTGGGTTTTGGGTTTGGGTTTTTCAGCGCCCAAGCCTTCTTTTTTCTTTTAATTGTGGGGCGGGCCGCGTAAGCGGTCCGCTTAGCCCTGAGCGGCCGCCTAGGCGCTCCCAGCACCTAAATGTGATCGCTGAGGGCATTTTTGCACGTCCTGGGCATCGCCTCTGTCTAGACGGGTGCCTAGGTAGTTGCCTAGGGCGTTTTTTACAACACTTGGTGCAGATAGTTATTGATGGAGCTTCAAACAATATAACGGTTTCTAAGTTGTTGGTCGAGAAGAGGCTAAATATATTTTGGACGACTTGTGCTGCACACACAGGAACTTGATGTTGTCTGATATAGCTAAGTTAAAACTCATTCATATTGCCATTTTAATGGGAAGGGGTGTATCAGTATTCTTGTATAATCTCATCAAGCCTCTTCAATTATTTAAGGAGTTCACTAAGAGTGATCTTGTGAGACCATGGGTTATGAGGTTTGCTACGGCGTTCCTTTCTCTACAGTCATTAAGAGATCATAAGAAAGAGATGAGGCAAATGTTTATCTTTGACTAATGGACAGATTATAGCCTTTTAAGAACATCGGTGGGCAAAAAGGTATATTTTAATTGTATTCATTTGATCATTCAAATCCGTGAATAACGCATTCATCTCTTGAAAGGCTACAATTTGTCCATTGGTCAGAGATAAACATTTGCCTCATCTCTTTCTTATGATCTCTTAATGACTGTAGAGAAAGGATTGGTCAGAGATAAACATTTGCCTCATCTCTTTCTTATGATCTCTTAATGACTGTAGAGAAAGGAACGTCGTAGCAAACCTCGTAACCCCGCCTCATCTCTTTCTTATGATCTCTTAATGACTGTAGAGAAAGGAACGTCGTAGCAAACCTCGTAACCCCCGGTCTCACAAGATCACCCTTAGTGAACTCCCTAAATAATTAAAAAGGTTTGGTGTGATTATATAAGAACACTGATAAACTCCTTCCCATTAAAATGGCGTTACGATTGGGTTTATCTTAGCTATATCGAACAACATCAAGTTCACTGTGTACAGCACAAGTCATCCAAAATATATTTGGCCTCTTCTCGACCAATAACTTAGAAGTCGCCACATTGTTTGAAGCTTCATTAGTGACTATATGCATCACATTTGTCTCCCATATTTGATCAATAGCCTTGTCTACAAAGTCACGGGTATACTAAGCATCGTGCTTATTGGCCGATGGACCATATGAAGACAAAAAACAAGCTCTCCTAGCAAAATGTACAACCATGTTCATGATGCTTCTAGACTTCTGATCACTCCATGCATCGGTCATTAACGAGCAACCATTGATAACACAAGTCCTTTTAAAGTTTTTAACAATTTCTTTTGTCGCATCCACTTCTTTTTGCAAATATGTCTCACTTAGTTCATACATCAATGGAGCTTGTAAATGACTTCCAAACAAACCAATAGCTTGTAGCATTTAATGGAAAGAGGGAAGTGTGGCGGTATGAAATGGAATGTCGGCTTCATAGAACCATTTAGAGATGTATCATAATACATCTTTTTTCTTCTTTTTAAGTTTGGAGTCCACCGTCAGTTGTTTCCCCTTTGCTACTATTTAGGCAATCTCCTCGGGAGAACGAGCGGCGAAGGAGTCCATTGGTCCAATTACCTTGTGAGAGGATGACGAGCTTCTTTGACTACTCAATGGGATTGAGTTCTGCTCCTCATCTTTCCTAATATGCACCTCACTCAACAAGTTATGCATTTTCATCTCCTTCTCATTCTTACTCTTCTTGGCATTATCTATAATTTCGAAAACTTTTGCCTTAACATCATCGGGAACTTTCACATGACGCGCAATTTCCCTCTTTCCGGATAGGTGTTGTTTGAATCGGCTAATCCCGCCATTGATAATTTGAGTGTAATATTTGCATTTCTTTGTCTATATCAGAACCAACTCTCCTCATATAGCCAACATGGATCTTTACCGTCCACTTTTGGTGTTGTTGACGGTCTAGTAGATCTTTGTCCTTCGCACAACATGATTCTACAATAATTAATAAGACAATAAATATGGATTTAGACAACCAATTATATTTACATATTTAAATCAATTGCATATTTAAATTGACAAATTAAATAATTATGTATTATTCAAAGCTTACTAAAATGACAAATTAAATAATTATGCATTGTTCAAAGCTTATTAAAATACCAACTACCAAGTCCATTATTCAAAGCCTATTAAAATTATGAATCTTCAAACAGTAACTGATTTAACAGTAATTGATAATTTGATTCGATACAAAATTTAAACATAATGATAGGCCAACCAAATGCTTAGAAAGTGTATAGTGCAGTGGAGAATGTTGTCTTCACACTAAAAAGTAATCAATTGCTCAAAAAGTGTACAAGGGGTAATAATTTCAGATCTCAATTGCTTGGAATTTTCTAATTTCAATTTAATTTTAGCAATTTGGTACGAATTTAAGAGAGGCAGCTGATATTAAAGAGTGTTAACTGTTAAGTATCTCCTATGCATTAGCATTTGAATTCGTTACACTTCAATTTTATAATTAAATTACCAAGTTAAAATTAATTTTATTTGACAGGAAAAAAATTTAAGAGGGAGGCTAACCTGTTTTTGAGAGACAACAAACAAAAAAAATGAATCAAGAGCTACTCCTTTTGCTCAGCATAAAGTCACAAACAGAAACTGAAAGAGGGGGGGAAATTAGTCTGCTGCAGCCACAATCTGAAGCTGCAAGACAAACTCAAAGAGAGAGAGATAGAATGAAGAAGGCTTACCTGCTAGGGAAGAGGGAGAGGAAGAGGCGGCACCGGCGATGGATGGATTCCGACGTCGTCCTGATATTTTCGATTTGGCTCTGAAAACCGACATACGAATTGAATACGCCCATGCCGTGTCGCTCAAGTCCTCAAACTGACATGTCGGACATGTCAAGCGATATTTAAAACCTTGCATTTAGAACATGATATTATACATATGTGCACTACCCGATATGGCAATTTAAAATTTAGTTTGTCCCTCGATATATCCCCGATTTTCGCTATCCGATATGGATTTCAACCGTCCGACATGAATCCGACATCCGACATCCGACATTTAAAACATTACCCTTGACAACTTCAATATCTCCAGCTTCCGCAATAACTTCGCATTCAACATCACAAATTCCTAAATCTTCAATGAAAACACTCCACCCAAAAAACCTATCTTTAAATAATGTTCACCGGCGGAGTCACTGTGAACAGTAATGCATCTTGCATCTTTCGTTAATTGCTTTCAACAATTTCAAATTCAATCCAAATTAGCTTTGCATCGTCAGGTTTATATTACACCTACATTAATATGCACAACATTGCATTAAATCTATCTTCAATATAACTGTTCATAAAACCATTTGGTTTGACCCTTCTACATATCAATCAAACATTTGTCTAGTTCATGCCATCTGCAGATTGGGTGCCATTTCGATCACTCAGGCACAAGTCTTCAACATTAATTCAATGACCTATAGGTTGATCCGCATAGGGTTTTAATTGGTTAATCTGCCTAGAATTTATGTTGGTTGTCAACCTAGGGTTTTAACTGGGTAACCTGCCTACGTTTCTATTGGCCGACCCATCTAAATTTTTCATTGGCTGACCTATCTAGAGTTTCTACTAGTTGACTCGCCTAGAATTTCTAATGGCTAACCCGCTTAGAATTTCTAATGGCTAACCCGCTTAAGGTTTCTTTAGCTATGACTACAATTTATTAATTGCTGACATCCTCAAGTATTGCGAGCAAAGATGATATTACCATAGCTCTTGCAACTAGGTGTTTTATTTTTCATTTCTAACAAGTTGGACATACATAGTACATATGCTCCAGCTTCAGGGGGGGCGTTAAATATTATTAGGATTTAGATGTAAGTATATATTATGAGATTTGAGTAGACATGATTTTATCTCAAACCTACTTTATAATATCCTCAAAATTCCTACTTAAGAGATGTTAAGTTTATATGAATAATAACTTGGCCTTTTCTATTTTCTCCACAAATATAATAATGGCAGTTAGTGTACCTTTGAAAAAAAAATGTAAAATGCTTATATAAAAATAAATAATACATATATCTATTTCAGGTGCTTAATACTCCAGTATTGGCAAATGTTGCTTGGAACCCTCATAGTTTTCTTTACAAAAAATGGGCTAAGATTAGAAACAAAATAAAATCACAATTGTTACGTAAAAGTTCATTAAAGGAGATATATTCAAACACGTTAAAGGTTCTAGCCCCAGAAAAAACTCCAAAAGGAAATAAGAGTGTGAATGAACCCAAAGCAACAGCTCAACTTCTGGTATGACCGTATGACTAGAAACCACCTCGAGATTGTTAGAAAAAGGATAAGAGTATCCAACTTTTCAATTAACTAACCAGCATTTGGAAGGGCGCCTGAAGGTTTGCAGAGGGTGGAGAAACATGCTTAAGAATGGCATCAAGCAACGGTGCCATATTCCTTGCATCTTCAACAGGACTTTTGGTGAAGGTCAAGGAAGCCCATCCTTCCTTTGCTGATGCATAAAGAACCGGAAAGTCCAGTTGCTGCTCTGTGAAATTAAAGAAGAAAGGCATATCCAAAACTCAGGTTTAGCTTAATACAGATATTGAATAAGTATAAAATTGTACCTGTTGCGCCAAGATTTGCAAAAAGATCAAAAACCAAACTCTCAACTTCATTACATGTCTCCTCAGAAACTGTGGAAAGGACAATACACAGACGTTAAGACAGTAAAATATTACAAGGCACCTTCAACACAACAAGAAGATCATAAGTGATTATTGTATATCAATGAACTGTGGAAAAGACAACATCCTGCTATGACTTGGAATGGCCTACAAGTTTGAATACAAATTTAATTAAAAAAATAAGAGGAAAAGGCTTAAAAAGTATTGGACATGGATGACATTCTTTTATTTTGTTTCACCTAGGCTAGGATTATGTAATCCCAGGAGAACACAATAGACAAGTCACCAACATGAAAGATCAAGTATGGGGAAATTAAAGTAACTTGTTCAATGTTGTCTCGGTTCAAATCGACTTGCTAGTACTTTGGGATTAATACACTCTTCTACTACCTCGCCAAGAAGAAGATAGCCAATCTCTCTCCCTCCCTCCCTCCCTCCCTCTCTCTCTGCCTCAGTTCAAATCGACTTGCTAGTACTTTGGGACAAATACACTCTTCTACTACCTCGCCAGGAAGAAGATAGCCAATCTCTCTCCCTCCCTCCCTCCCTCCCTCTCTCTCTCTCTCTCTCTCTCTCAATATATTCTTGATTTATATGAACCATGTAAAGAAGGAGAGAATATGAGGGAATATGAAGGGGGAAAGGCTGTGGTTGGGCAGTCAGTGGGTGGACATAAAGTAAGTTGAAGTAAAATGTAACCAAAAAACCCAAGTCCAAATTATTGGAAATAATCTTGATAAAGTTTAACTGATATCTACGCAAGGTTACTTTCATGTTTACCTAACTCAACTCTCCCTTCTCTGAAGATTCGCATGATCAAGGAAACAGAGTCTTGGACGGTTCGCCATGAGTTTTCTGAAGAAGTTTTACCTTGTTATTATTCCTACTTCCACTCCCTCTATTTTTTCATTATGTACTTCTGCATCTCAGTGTCATTTTCTTGTCATTTGATTACCAATTGTAAATTTGGCGATAGCATACTTGCACCTATTTATGCACCGGAGACTTTAGTTTCTAAGTTGATACACATACGAATTAGAAACCCATGGGCAGACAACAAGCCATAGGGCAAACCGATAGACTTAACGTTATGCTTAAATGGTTTGAACAGTATCCTATGGTAGACAACTACAATAAACAATTGATACATACATGATTTATAAAAAATGAGAAGTCACACCTGAAGGCCGATCGACTTTATTCAAGAGAAGAATCGGGCGCAACCCATACTTCAAAGCTTTGGCAAGAACAAACTTTGTCTGTGCTAATGGACCCTCTCCAGCATCAACAACTAATATTGCCCCTTCAACCATTCCAACAACTCGTTCAACCTAACACATAATAAGAAAAACATTCACTTTAACAAATCCATCACAAAGACAATTCTAATACGAAGTTAAGTTCACATACTTCACCGCCAAAATCAGCGTGCCCTGGAGTATCAACCATATTCAGCTCACTATCCCTCCATGAAATCGAAGTAACCTGGAAAAAAAATTTACTGAAACTATGAAACTTCTATTGCTAAGAAAATCGATCTTTTTGTTTAGTAATACCTTGGAAGCGATTGTGATGCCACGCTCGCGCTCGAGGCCAATGGAATCCATAACTCGATCGTGGGGGATATCAGCACCGCACTTCACCGCCACATTGCGGAGCCTGTTGGGGTCCAACGCGCTCTTCTCCGCACCGGCGGCGGCAGAGGACTGGACCGCGGCGGCGGAGAAGCTGCGGAGGGGAGATTGAGAGGGGTAATGGTGCCGGAAAGGGAGGGGGAGGGAAAGGAAAGGGGTGGAGAATGCGGCGCGATTCGCAGATCGCATACCGCGGAGGAGGAGACCCGCCATTTTCACTGGCGAGTGAGGGCGAGATTTAGGGTTATACCTTTGGACACGAATTTGATCCTAAATTCCTTGTCGGGTCGGGTATGGTTGACAAATAACCGGGTTTAACTTGTCCGATTTGCATATGGTTTTCTGTTCTCCAAACAACATATTTCTTGTTTCCCAAACGAGCTTGGATATGAATAATAGGTTTTTGCAATTAGGATATTTTATGAATGACTCGTGTGTTTGAGCATTTCTGCGCTCAGTGATAGTTATTTTATTAAAAATAATAAATATAGATATAATTACGGATAATGTACTCTACTTAAACTATGAAGTACGTTGAAAGAAGATACATGAATTTCAATAAGCAACATTGTGTGAAATCTAGATGCTGGATAATCAATGAATTGAATCTGATAATACTGCAATCAATAAAGACATCTATGTAAATATTTTTAACCTAACTATATTAATTTTTTATTCCTCTCTCTAAACCTGATCTACATAACTGGGAACGAGCATGAAGAAATTAACGATACTTCTTTATCTTTTGAGTTGTTCTGCCGGATCGGTCGCTCTTGATCAAGATTTGTTCGGCGCGAGAGAAAACTTAGACTTTTAGTTGCTTCTCAATTAAAATTAATATATTTGATTAGAAGTGTTATATACTTTCTCCAACTTTCATTTTCGACGGATCATTGGATTTACACTCCGAGTTTTCTTAATTACCTTTAATTTTAAGTGGATGTGTCTGCGAATCAAGTAGGCTCGAATCTAAATTTAACGTTTTTGTTATTCCTAGGAGCATGTTTGTTTGTAAGGAAATAGTTCTAAAGTACCTAAAGTAAGAATAGTAAATGTTAGTTTTGTTACTCCCAAGCCAAAAATAACGTGTTTGTTTCATCAGAAATATTACTCGTTTTACTTCGTTAATTAATGATATGACGCCTACGTGCCACCTATACTTCATAAAAACTCTTCAATCCTCCCAACTATGTGCTTCAGAAGTGGATGAAATGTGTGTGGGATCCACACGTGAAGAAGGTGATCCCGTGAAATGAGGGATCGGCTGTGAGTGTCGTTCCAAATGTGATGGTTTACATTGGTTACTTTTTTCACATAAAACCTCCTAGATAAAAGGAATTATATTGATGTGAAGGGTTTTTCTTTTTAACACATTCTCTTATCTTGATATATTTTTGAGCCCAAATGCTAGTGGACTCCTCCACACTAAAAACATTCCATCTAACTTTTTAAAAATAAATTTTCATGTTAATGAGCTACAAATTAAGTCCTACAAACTATTATAATTTAATATGAAATGTTGTAATAGTCATTATTGTTATGATATTGATTAAAGTGCTATAATAAAGGAAGATAACATTGTTATAGTTTATATCATGTATTTATTACTTCCTAACAACATTTTCAATTGTTATCCTAACATAAGAAGTGAATGAAGTGTTTTCCTAGTACTTAAAAAAATATCTAAAATCTAAAACAAGTAAAAAATATTACTTTTACTAATTTCTACTTCATAATTTCAAAAATTATTTTTTTAATCTAATTTTTACTTTCAATACTTATTGTAATCCAAATGGGCCCTAAATGTGACACGCTGCATAGGTTTGAGGATTTTAGTTGGCAGCTTCTTATAAATAATTTAATGCTCTCACTTATATATTTCAACAGAAATCTAAGAGTTCCTATAGAAGACTCAAATGCAGGAGATAGTTGCGTCATCTGTTGATGACGTGATTCGCATGAATCTATCACACGGAGCGGCCACTTCCTCAAATTTCGCATTAACAACCATAAAGCATATATTTCTTTTTTAAGATTTAAGGATGGAACCTTAAATAAAGGAAAATATTAAGTAAATCCGAGTTTATGGTATTAATTGTACACCAAATACATGTTAGTCCATAAATCATTAGATTTTAAAATTTATGTACAAATCCAAAAGTTCACATCTTTTGAATGCATAATTAGTATCACAAACCATCTTCGCTAAATACTTCCGCTCAAAAATAGTTGTTATAAAAGTAGAATCACATCTTCATGCAACTTCAAAGATGCTATCCAAATACATTGTCATATTACAACAAAAATAATGCTTTTTGGACCTAAATTATGGAGTTGGCTGCTTTTCAGCGTGGCACTTGATCAAGGAACCATGAGATTATTTTCAATCGGTAGGAAAATTTTTTAAAAAAAAGAAAGAATTAGTTTAGGAATAAAAAATATACGTCTTTTCTCTCTGCTCCATTGCTAGCCATGAATCTTTAATTCCTTCCTACTTACCCTGCGTCTCACGCTTTACGCCGCCACCTCCGGACTATGTTTCATGCCACCGCGCCGCCACCGCTGAACACAGTGCTTCATCTTGTCATCACCTCATCTTGCGCTCTTTCTCACTGTCGTCGGCGTCTCACGCTCCTTCTCACTCCTAAAGACATCTTATGTTCCTGGTTTCCCCGTTACATCATGCTTCATCTCTTGATGCCCTGACCATCATAATAATGGTCGCAACCATTATTGCCGTGGTGTTACATCCGATGGCTATTCGTTCCCTTTCTAACAACCATGTTTCATGTACAATCAAGGTAATTACAACAATCACAAAAGCAAGAAAACCCTTCATATTTGACAACAATCGAATCTAGCATCACAGAATTTAGGCCTAGACATTGTTGCAAGAAAAATAAATCAACAACAATCTCAATAGCAATCAAATAATACGAACCCAAACAAAAAATATATTCACAAGTAGACATGAACAATTTCATCGCGACACAGTCAGTGAGTCATCGACAACATGGTCGATGGCAACTTGATATGGCGTTGCCAGCACAGAGTATTGGGATTTCCCGCAACATAAGCACGAGAGATTCACGATGCTGACAACATGAAAACGAGAATGGACATTGCCGGCGACATGAGCCGAAGGCATCAACGTTGCCTGCGAGATGAGTGCCTTCCAATTAAATATTGTTGTTGATAGCAGAGTTCATTGAAAATATTATATTCGCCGATTCATTTCTCCAGCTCATTAAATTTTTTTAACTGGACTCTCTACGTCAGGTGTCCCATGAGGCGGTCCTATATTTAGGATCTTTGCTAGTGTTAAAGTAAGAGAGAGAGAGAATCTTGGGTAAATTTCCCTTGAATTGAATATTGAGTGTGCACATATATTTATACAAGTAGAGGAGTGTGATGTTTGTTCTCCCAAGCAATGTGGGACTAAAACCCACTACAATACACTATTATCAACAGCCCCCTTCAAACTCATGTTGGATCAAACAAAGTGAGTTTGCGTACAAGAAACTGGAACCGATGAACAGGTAATGCCTTTGTGAAGAAATCTGCAAGCTCGTCAGCGGATGAAACATGAGGAAGTAGAATTGTCTTGTCCTTGATAACTTGGTGACGGACAAAATGAGCGTCGATCTCAATATGTTTGGTCCTTTCATGAAATACTGGATTATTAGCAATCTGGATGGCACTCTTATTATCACAGTAGAGAGGAGTAGGAGTCGTAACAGAAATACCGAAATCACTGAGAAGGCGACGAAGATGAATAATCTCTTTAGCTGTTGTGGACATTGCACGATACTCTGCCTCAGTACTGGAAAGAGCAATAACATCTTGTTTCTTACTTCGCCAGGAAATAAGGGAATCACCAAGAAATATACAATAACCTGTGGTAGACTTTCTGGTAGTTGGATCACCAGCCCAATCAGCATCAGAATATGCACAAAGCTCTAACTTAGATGTAGCAGGAAACAAAAGTGAGCGAGTGCTAGTACCCCGGAGGTACCGAAGAATCCGTAATAAGACAGCATAGTGTACAGAACGTGGGGCACTAACAAATTGACTGACAATACCAACAGCATGAGAGATATCTGGTCGAGAGATGCACAAATAGACCAACTGACCAACAAGATGTCGATATCGGGTAGGATCAGATAGAGGCTCACCGTCAGTAGAGCAAAGTTTGACATTCTGCTGGAGTGGAGTATCGACAGTTGTATTATCAGTTAACTCAGCTTGATTTAGAATATCTGAGAGATACTTCTGTTGAGACAGTAATACACCCCGCGGGCCTTGAGAAATTTCTAGACCAAGGAAATACCGAAGAGATCCAAGATCCTTCATGTGGAACTGTTGTTGCAACTGAGATTTTGCGTATTGTATACCTGTCATATCATCACCTGTAATGATCATATCATCTACATAGATGAGTAATAAAACCCTGCCACGCGATGTAGTGCGAACAAACAGAGAAGCATCTTGATGACTTTCTATAAAGCCCGCTTTGAGCACAACATCGCGAAAACACTCAAACCAAGCGCGGGGTGCCTGTTTGAGACCATAAACAGCACGACGAAGGAGACATACATGTCCCGGAGGAATATTTGACCCTGGAGGCGGTTGCATATATACGGTCTCTGATAAAGAGCCATGAAGAAAAGCATTTTTGACATCCATCTGGTATAAGGGCCAACGATGAGCAGCAGCGACCGCAAGGAGAGTACGCACAGTGGGCATCTGAGCAACAGGAGCAAAGGTCTCCTCATAATCAATACCTTGTTGCTGAGTAAAACCTCTAGCCACTAAACGAGCTTTTCGACGTTCAATGGTGCCATCAGGACGAAACTTGACCTTATAAACCCATTTACTGCCAACAAGAGAGATCCCAGGAGGACAGGGAACAATATCCCAGGTATGAGTTTGCTGAAATGCTTGAAATTCCTCAGCCATAGCTTGTCGCCACTCTGGAATTTGAACTGCCTCTTGGAAGGACTTTGGCTCAACAATAGTATGAATGGCAGCAAGAAAGTTATGAAAGATAGGTGAATAAGAAGTAACAGAAGCATACCGGGCAGGCATGACATGTGGGCGTTTGCCTCGACGAAGAGCAAGAGGAACCTCAGGCGGGGGAGATGCTGGCGCAGGTGCATGAAGATCAACAGTATTTTCTGGAGTGAGAGTTGTGTCCACAGGATATGGATTAGATGGTGTAAGAGAAGACTCAGGTGAGGAAGA